GGAAGAGGGAGGGAGGGAACAGAGGGTTGTTAGGTGGTCAGAAGAGGAACGAGAGGAAAGAGAATACACTACCGCGCAAAAGTTTGAAATTACTTCTTGCAATAATTTGCATACATTCTCTTGAAAATATTTGCCGCCTGTTCTACCAACGACGATTCCACGAAGTTTTGGCATTTCAATTATCAGTGCAACTTCTTGGAAAACGCGTTATTCCAATAATTTTGGTGCAGCCACCACGGACGATCTATGTTTACGTTTGTCCGACGAGGAAGCAATCGGGTCGAGGTCGTGCGATCGCGGTAGCCAAACCATACTATGTAGCAACTCTTGTTCTTTCCGAGCTTTGTAACTTCCGCAAAATTTAGTTGCATGTTTCAAACCGGAATCCTGTTTTTCTCTTTTCCTTTTTTGCCTCGTAAAACTGGTTTCTGGAATTAAGGGACTTGGTGAAAATTAAGTAGATGTATATTAATTTCGGTTCTTTACTTTTATTAGTTTATTGTAACATAATCTCCGATTTATTTCATAATTTATTATCGTCAAATCATGTATTATTCATTGGATGGAATTATATAAAAATGCCACTTGAAAAGATAAACATCGAAATTTAATAATATATTTAGATTCGTGTATTGGACAAAATAAAAATTATATTATTTTAGGTATTTGGTTGTATCTTCTTGGTAATATTGGCACTTTTGTACCATGCATTAGGGATTTTAAATTAATTGAAGAAATGGAAAGAAACGTACGTTATATAACAATGAGCTAATTTAATAGAAGAAAGTAACACCTTAAAATCGTAAAATAAAAAGCAACGACTTCTTTGCATAATTGTTTATATTTTATACAGTTTGTTACACAAAACAACAAGGCATAATATTACTTATAAATAAAATAAATGTAGTCTAAGGAGTGTCAATATACCCCACGTTACCAGTTAAATATAATTGTTTTTATGTTGTCATTTGTAATATTTTCTAAGATTATGTTGTGCTTTTAGTTCTTTTAACTTCTAGAGCAAAAAATTAGTACTTTTATTTACCTTTAACCCCATTTTCATTAGCTGTTGACACTTAAACGCGTATTTCCACATTTGTGAATCAATCGTTAAAGTTAAAAAATGTGTGATAGATGTTATATATTTTTCTGTGATATAACTTCTTAAAAAATTACTCAAATTTAAATAATAGATGTGATCATCTTATTTGAGATTAAAAGTTGAGGTTGAGGGGTTAATTATAGATATATCATCGTTTTCTATAGCCTTTCTTTGTTCCAATTCTTTCATTCCCTTTTCAACAAATTTGAACAGTTTTAAGTGTAACGTCTCATTAGGTGCTAATTTACTGGTTAAAAAATGTTGCAATAATTAAAATAGATTAGTCCCCAGAGTCTAAGGATGATAGGTGTGGTACAAATTCTAATCATAACTTTTAATTTTTCCTAATGTTATCATTGCAGTATGTAGTCTGGCTCTATCACGATCGAACAAAATTCCTTTTAGATTCACTAATAATAGCCGTTTTTCCACTAACTCTATACGTAAACTATGAAGTCGTTGGCTATAGACATTTTTTATTATAGTGTAATTTCAATTTAGAAGTTTGTAATGAAGTAGAATAAAATCTTTTGCCATAGATGTCAAATCAGGTGATAATTATCGACGTGCAGGATTACGACGAAGTCTCTTTTTGTTACAATCCGATTGAGAAATTAATAATCTTTCCATTTCTCTAATAATTAGACGAAGTTCTGTTTCGATCAGAGCTTTTAATGTTTCGACATGAAACGTTATTAATCGACTGGGTCTTAATTCATTAGAAGGTTCAAAAATACCACGCCAAAATTACGAAAATCACCTTCGACACTTTTTCACGTGTAAAACGTTCACCGTACAGTTGATAGATATTGTCAACCGTATCTGTAGCTGCATTGCTTATTTTAAATTCATACAGCATGCGATACCGCAAACCAGTTTTTGCTAACATTCGCTTTATAATGTTTTTTCAAATGGAAAATATCGATCTTCTCCAAACACAGGACTGCGTCTAGAAGATATTCTTTAAACCCTCCGGAGTCAGTGGTGTATCTCTCAGATACATGCAAAATCTTTTCATAAATATTTTTGAACAAATACATTATTGAGCTTGCCAAGAAAGAGTATGATACAGTGTATGATACAGCGCATTTCTATATGATACAGTATGCATTTTATGATACAGTGCATTTCTATATGCTCATAAATCTGGATCGGTTGGGAGCATACATCGTATAATTACAACGATAATAATGTTGTATGATTAGGTACGCATTAAGTGCAGAACTGAGTCAGGCATTATTAATTGAACGTTATTTATAATAACAAATAAAAATTCGTTCCAATACATTTTTATTTTTCATGAATATATTTCGGATAAATTTTTTGCTAGTAACCTTTTCAAATATTTATATTGTTGTACATTTATGATAACTGCACGAAAGTGGTTTCTTTTTTAAAACTTTACAATGTGTGGCTAATGCATATGAATTGTTTCTTAAACTTTTTCTCTAATATGATCCCACATATGTGTAAATAAGAATCGAGGCATGCAAGATCAAGTAATCTTTCAGGACAGTCAAGTCTTCACGATGGATCCAACATTAATAAATTTCATTTAGAATATTGTCTTTATTAGGCTGTTGAAGTGTGGTAGAAAATTATTCGATCTCAAATAGCACAACGTTCAACGCTAGAATTACCGACAATTATAATGTATTTATTTGTACCAAAGAAGTTAAAATAATAGTATAATGCAATGGAACTAAGTGTTTCTTAATTCTCTTATAGAAAATTATGGTAAATTCTCAAAAGTTCAGTTGAGTAAATTTTTTACAACTTTTATTAGAAATTACGAATAGGTAATTTTTACTGCTCTAGTAGTTCTAGCGTTAATAAAGTAAAGCAGTAAAGAAAATGTAAATAAGATTCTCCGGTTAAAGTATGAATGTTCAAACCCGATTATCTCGAAAACGAAGTCGAAAACATTCTCTCAGAAGAAATCGCTAAACTTGTACACGTTATTCGACCGCACCCTGTATACCCGACGACCTCGCGCGGAATTTTATAGTTTCCGTGCGTCTAAATTATTCTTACGACTTATTCTATCGTAGCATGAATTAATGTTACGGTAACCATAGTTATGACCCGGCGGTACGATTCTTAAAAACGACGATATCCGACGTTACGTTCTATTATACAATCTTTCGATGGTTAGATAGCTCTGGTCTTCCCGCGGCGAGCCAACTGCGTCTAAATGCATCCGCGAGAACAATACGCGGAACCTCCTTTATTTAAACCGAAAACCGTGCGTCTCGAGAAACAGTGATATCGATCACGCTGGTAAAAATGCGTAACGCGGCCAGCGAATATGGAGTGGTCGTTTATATTTCGTCCGAGAACGCGTTCCCTGGATTTGAATCGCGTAAAGTTGCGTCTGCCGTTTGGCGAGACCGAGTGCCGCGCCTACCAATAAATAAATATAAAATTGCATTTGGATCGCGCGCGACAGATCCGTCGGTTAGACGATAGATCCGAGCACATAGGCGATCCGAGACTTTTGAGCGGTAGTGTATATCGGTCGGTTCGCACTTAAAAGGTTAAGCGCGTAGTCGGGAGGCCGGTAGGTTGAATATCTCCGCGGCTGGCGTCGCGGCGGTCCGCGGCGCGCGCGGGGGAGGAGGGGGAGGACGAGGGCGGCGGAGGAGGGGGTGGGGTGAAGAGGGGCGAAGGCGGGTGTGGGGGTGTGGGCGTCGTTGGCTCTCGCAGGGGAGCCTCCGGCGGTGGCGGTGTCGGTGTCGGTGTCGGTGTCGGTGGTGCTTGCAGGCCGGCTGCACAAGAGGAGGGAAGGGTAGAGGAGCAAGAAGGGGAGGGTGGAGAATAGCGAAGGAGAAGAGGGAGAGCGGGGATGGAAGGCGGAAGGCAGACGGGCGGCAGACACCCCATGCTTATCCCCGCCTTTCCAATGACTCCCGGTCCGTGACTCACCAAACCGTTAAGGGATGAAGCCGCCCTGCTTTCACTCTACGCGCGCACACACCACCACAGAGAGACATTCGCAGATAAATCCGTGCGGGCGAACCTGCTCTCACGTATACGCGCTACCGCTGCTCGATAGCCACGATGTATCTCTTGTTACGCTTGTACACGAACGACGTCCTCTCGCGTGTTGTATTTCGTCGTGGCTCGGCTCTGAGAACGCTCGCGCGCTACCACACACACATACACACACACACACACACGCACAGGCGCGCACACTTACCACGCGCATACATACATTGTGTGTCGTGCTCGGTGCATTACACCGGTATCACCCTTTCTTGCTCTTTCTGTCTCGTTCTCTCTGTCGCGCGGTTTGTACTACGCTCCGCGACGACGGGGGTTGCGTGGGGCCGGAGGGGGACATCGAGAGCAAAAAGAACGACTCGCCTACAGAAAAATCCACCCTCTGACCGCTACGGTCGCTGCCCGCTCCGCGAATCTTGCCTTTCTTTTTTCTTTTTCTGTTTTTTTTTTATTTTTTTTTATCCGTTCGCGAATTAAAACGTTACGTACCTACCTCGAAGATTTCGAAAAAGGAGCGACACTTCCGTCGATTCGATTCGCGGTAATTTCTCGCACGGAGGTTGAATCCATCGCCGGGGCCAAGGAATTGTAGGATAAACGAGAGAACGAAGACGCAGATTTACGAAAGACGCCATTGAGCAACGTCGAGCGCTCAGAAGTGGCGCGTTCACGGTTCGAACTTCGAAGGATAGAAGTTACGATTGCGATTGGTTTATCGGCGACCGTCGGCGGGGAGGAGTTTGGTCCAAGTGGTTTGCGGAACGCATCCAAAAAATCGATAACTTCCGCCCCCTTCTCCTCGGGACCGAGAAAAACGAAAGCCGAACGAGTTGGCGCGCGATTTACGTGGCGTTTTCTTTTTGATCGATGAGTATCTCCTCTCTTTTGCTCGCAGGACGAACGTTGAACGGGCAACCGTTGCTGGAGTTTCCGATGGCCAGTGGGGAACCAGCGCTGGAACCACTGAGGATCAAAAGGGCGACGCTATGGGCGCGAGTCGAGTTCAAGCACGCCCATCATTATCAACACCATCGTCAGGGTCAAACGAACCAAAGAAACATTACTCTCTGGGTATTCAGGGTACGATGCGGCAACACGACGCATCTGCGTGGCAAGGTAATCTCCTCTGTCAATTTTCTAGGACTACCTCACCATCGAAGCTAACCCTCTGTAACCCAAATTATGTCTGGCTTCTGGCAACAATTATACGATATGATCATTGATAAACGCTAATAATAATATATAAATATATATTTCTACGTTCTATGGAAAGTTTAACTGCGTTAATCGTTTAATAATCAATGCCAATAAGTTTTGCTAATATATAAACTTGTTCTGCTCTTACACCTCCTTCATGCAGAAATTAGATAATACTGTAAGTTTAAGACAATTTACATAAATTTTCTAAGTTTAATATAACTAGGTATAGCGTTTGCTGTGTTTATGTTTGGTTGCAATTTGTCATGTCGTCACTCATCTTATATAGTTTATACAGTGCAAAAATTGATATGATTTTATAATTACTTATATTCTATACTTATGTCTCTCTATCTTTGTATACAAGGGCATTCATACCTGTAAATAAATAAATAAATAGAAAGACAAATTTTAACCTTTTATGCTGAAAAAATGTTCTTTGATCATCTACCAGCAATTCGAGCATACTTTCTTACGAAATAACTAATAAAATCTCCAAGAAACATTTCTTTTTTCATTTGAACTCGCATACTTTTGTCCGATATGTATAATCACGTTAAGAGGATATTTTAGTTTATATTGTCATCTTTTTTTAGTCTTTTAACAGATTCCTTTACAAAATAAATATAAATTTCTTAATTTCGATATTTTTCATACGTATTTATTTATTTTTTATAAATATTCACAATTTTTTTAAGCGAAAATAGTAAAAACTGATTATATTATATGTCATTGAACAAGGTTCCTTTAAACAAAATTGTCCTACTAGCTGACAGACTAAAAATCAAAAGTATTTTTGTTTAGTATGATTGTAATTACGGTGTGGACCAAAATTATAAAAATGAACAATTTTTCTTATTGTTTTTTTTAACTTGCTAAAGATGAAAAAAGTCAAGAAACTCGATATTCAAAATTCAAAGTACCACCGTTTCGTAAACTTTCACTATTTTTTTTTTCATTTTGGTTCACACTATAAACGCAATCATACTAATCAAAAATACTTTTGATTTTTTCATTTCAGATAAACGAAATGAAAAAAATTGTGAACCTTCGTAAAATATAAATAAATATGTATGCAAACTATAAAAATTAAGAAACTTATATCTTTTTTTGTAAAACGCCAGAAAAATACCTCCTTAAAGCAATAATATCTTTGTGTCCAAGTTGTTTGCCAGATTTAAGATGTCCTCTCAGAGGGGGCAACCAAGTGCAAAGAGTTAATATATAAAGATTTTCATCTGTACCCACTATACAGGGTGTCCCGTAAATAGTGTAAGAACCGGAAATGGGGGGTAGCTGAGACGATTCTGAACAACAATTTCCTTTGCAAAAATGTCGGATGGAGCTTCGTTTTTGAATTATTAACGAAAAACACTGACCAATCACGGCGCTCGCCTTCGGCGCGCTCAGGGCCGTCCGACCTCGGAGAGCCACCGCGCTGGATAGGTAGCAAGATGCGCGTTGAAGATACATCGAGGAACGAATACAAATAATTAAAAATACTACCACTACAACTGTTACCTAATTCGTTAATTACTACGTAATTAGTACGTAAATTACTAAATGGAATTTATTAATTATTTGTATTTGCTGTTTCCGAGAAAGAAGGAACAAAATCTCGGTATTTTTAGGAAATTGACCCTTCGCAACCGAGTGACGCTTCTCGGCAGAGTGTTTTAAAATTAAAATAAAAATTATTATCAGAAAATTAAAATAAATACGGTAAGAACCATTTGTAACCGTTTGTTATTAAAAACTGTACTGAAAAAGCAGACTGGATTTCTGCGTACCGAAACATTCCTCGAATGCAAAGGGTTAATAGAGAAATAATTGAAATTCGACTTACCCATTTATCTGCAAATTGACCTACTGCGCTGACAATAGAGCCCGGCCAATGCACCGCTGTCGGTCACAGCAAGGTCAAAAACCCCAACGAAAATCAGCTGATGGGACGGCCCGATCGCTGTACCTGCTTCTCACCCCGAAAAAACTTCACAGCACGGTCACTAACATTTTTCACTTTCACATACCGATGTGTTCCGTTGCACCCTTCTTCGATTGTTGCTCCTTACTGGGTTGATAACGGTGCCTGGATGTTGCTTCCTCCTGAATTGTTACTCCTTCCTGAATGGTTGTTGCTCCCTGAATTGTTGCTCCTTCTTGGATTGTTGCTTCCTCGAACCTTGCTCCCTTCAGGATTGTTGTTCCTTTTCGCTGGGATAATGGGCACGATACGTGTGGGCGGCTTTCTTCGCGTTCTCCTTGGAGTCCGCGAAAACGAAGAACGAACGATAATACTCTGCGTTTACGCGTTCCATCGCGTGCGTCCGCTTCTGTTCAGAAACGCGTAGGTTCTGTGAAAAATTTTGACTGACAAATTGCATTTCCCTCCCCGAAAAAGTTCCAGGTAGAGCAACCTATTGTCGCGCGATTCGGAGTTACCTGCGATCGGCGAACGTGCAGACCATGTTTGCCGCAAATGTTTGCCGCTAAACCGTACGGTCGACTCTTCTAATAGAATTTTTAAGATTCACCGTGAATATTTTTTCATGGAAATGCAATTTGTCAGTCAAAATTTTTCACAGAACCTACGCGAAAAAATCAAAAGTATTTTTGATTAGTATGATTGCGTTTATAGTGTGAACCAAAATGAAAAAAAAAATAGTGAAAGTTTACGAAACGGTGGTACTTTGAATTTTGAATATCGAGTTTCTTGACTTTTTTCATCTTTAGCAAGTTAAAAAAAACAATAAGAAAAATTGTTCATTTTTATAATTTTGGTCCACACCGTAATTACAATCATACTAAACAAAAATACTTTTGATTTTTAGTCTGTCAGCTAGTAGGACAATTTTGTTTAAAGGAACCTTGTTCAATGACATATAATATAATCAGTTTTTACTATTTTCGCTTAAAAAAATTGTGAATATTTATAAAAAATAAATAAATACGTATGAAAAATATCGAAATTAAGAAATTTATATTTATTTTGTAAAGGAATCTGTTAAAAGACTAAAAAAAGATGACAATATAAACTAAAATATCCTCTTAACGTGATTATACATATCGGACAAAAGTATGCGAGTTCAAATGAAAAAAGAAATGTTTCTTGGAGATTTTATTAGTTATTTCGTAAGAAAGTATGCTCGAATTGCTATAGTTGCACACTACCGTCCATAAGTCTCCGGGCATTTTGCTCGTCCATCTTGGAAAATGTAAATTAAGGTACAGATACAATTTTCCGAAGCGACTTTATTATCTAGCTCTTTTACATTTAGTCGTTTTAAGTTACTACTTTACTATAAATTTTATAACGCTTCTATTAAATTAAAATAATAAATGATATTGTTCGAGGAAGTAAATTTTGAAGATAAAGGATTACAAAAAGGTTTGAAAAGGTATTAATGAAAAAAATATTAAACAATAATTGTTGATAGAGATCTACCATTAATTTGTACGGTCGTTGTAAAACGAAAATTTTGCATTGTTAGATAACATTTTGGTAAATTCATGACATAGAATATGAGTTACGTTTCCTTTATAATGAAACGAATAAATAAATTTCATTTTATAGTTTACATCGCTTCACAGTGTTAATTTGTTTTTATTCTACGTTCGTCAAGTGTCCGATGGCTTATGGACGGGTGTGTATATTGAATGCACGCCATACTATTGCTCTAAAACCACAATTGGATTTACAGTCCGCCGACGAAGGGGTCAATTCTGACCCGTATTCTATCATTGTCATCGAACTTGCAAGCCAGCTTGCCAAATATCGCGTGGACAAATTTGGCAAATATACAACAAATATCGTGGTAGTTGTATTTGTATCGAATCAGTTTTATCCGGAAATGCTATACTTCGATGGATAAATCATAAACGTATGTTTCATAAATACGTGTATTTTAATATAAATACAGAAATCTGTTAAAGGTTCGTTAAATTAGATTTTAAGAACGTAGACAATACATATGTGATTTAAGAGTCACGTTGGGTTACAGAGGGTGTAAGATTGATAAATTGCTAGCAGTCGATAGCACTCAATCTTTCGTGAATTAATTTCAGTATGCGCATCTAGTCAAACTTAATTGTTTTGATTTAACACTTACATGGAAATGGGTTTTCTCTTAATTGAACGTACGAGGAACATTATCCAAGTAATTCATATCGATTTTAACTAATTTAAGCACAGTGGAAAATTGTTGAAAATGCATATTTCTATTTAAGATCGCTCTTAACAAACAAATAAAGATAGAAGAAAATATTGAATACGAATGTTTCGTGGTTTCAGTAATTATAGCTGGAAAAGTCATTTGTTAAAGGAATGATTCCTTATACCTGTAATTTTTCTGACCATTATTATCAAAAATCTCCGACATATTTTACGTTATGACGCTAATTGTTATTCTAAAATAGTTAAAACTGCTGGATCAGTTGTGTCATATACGAAGAATTTTTACATAAATGCTAAATTGCGTTCTGGTCGATCGTCTCAGTTGGAAATTCATATTTTTATTGATAGAATTAATGAATTGGGAGTTTCGTATAGGGCTGTTTCAACCCCTAAATATAATAATTCGTATCTTGCTTTAAGTATATCTTATATTTTTGCATATTAAGTGCATTCTGAAAATTTAAATTTCCCACAAATGTAGTAATGTGTTACGACAATCAACACAACTTACAAATTAGCCGAGAGGATACATCGTTTTGCTATTTAAAAACAATGGAAAGGGTAACTTGGAACTCGTAACAAAAATCAGCTGATTACTGAAAAATCGTACGAACATAACTAGCCTAATGTTCCTTGTTACACACGCGAAAATCCTTTGGCAGAGTTTAGCCTACTTCTATTTTTCGTCAATTTGCAGAAAAAGAAGGAAAGATAGTTCTTCATTTTCATTCGATTTCTATGAATTTAATCGCGTTAAAACGTACTGCAAATCTTAAGCCGCCTTATCAATAATTTGTCCAATATTACCGGCTACGGTTGTCGGGTTTCAGCCGATCGGGAAGCTTCGAATAGTAACGCGTAGAAAAGTATATTTACCGGCCAGTCTCTAGCTCGTTCGCCGGCAAATGTAAACTGGAAATACGTGCTTTCGTAGGAGCTCGGCCAACATCTGGAAATGGTGACGTCCCTCGGGGTGAACGTCGGACAACTGGGCTGGCTGAAGTTTGACGTGACCAGGGTCGTGAGCAGTTGGTACACGGCGAACAGAGATTTCGCGAGGGACAAGTTGACGCTGCTGGTCGACTGTACCGGATGCGGGTCGCGCGTCTTCGTGTCGACGTTCGACGAACACTCTCCGCACGTAATCGAGTCGTCCTTGAACGCAAAAGGTAACCCCGAAACCATTTTTCACAGTCTCCTCGCGAAATTTTTGAAAACGATTTTAACTACGTTCGGGCTTAAAACGATGTTTCAGTGGGTCAAGATCCCGACAGACCCTTCTTAGTCGTTCGCACCGATCCAGCGTCCGTGAAACGAGTCAGAAGACGGGCGGTCGAATGCAGCGGCGCGATAAAGGGCCAATGCTGCAAGCAGAGATTTTACGTGAACTTCTCGCAGCTCGGTTGGGACGACTGGATAATCGCTCCTCAAGGGTAAGGATAACAATTAAACGCGACGAAGAGCGATGAATCCGACCGTCGTCGCCTTACGTGACCAGTCGATCGGTATTAGAGAAGTGTAATCGTTTCGCAATTGGACGGGTCTAGGAGCACAATGTCGCGTGTCTTATTTGTCTGGCAATGTATTAGCGGTATCGGTCGATAGCCAGAGTCGATAATCGCGACAGTAATATTATCCAGGTACTGTGTAGACGAGCAAAAAGAGGAACGTTAGACGGTAGCACGCGACAATACTTTATTTACGCGGAGACCCCTCGCCCGGTATCTGTAAGTCACTCGTATGGTATCCCGTGAAATCAGAGTGTCGCTTACAAGTGCAACGGCCCTAAACCCTTAGCTTAACTTACAAGCAATTATTGCAAACAGAATCATCCTGGGGCTTACCGGCGTGCCGGGGACTGCAATATATAATTTAACGTCACGTCCGTTCTACAACGCGTACAACACGAAACAGAATTATATCAAAGGGTCTTTTCGATTTCGATAACTTTAAATTTACTCAACTTTGGGGAATTATTTTCATGAAAACTATTCGATAGTATTTTTCTACTTTTTGGTATTATTTCGTGTTTAAACATCTCACAAATTTTGTTAAGTCATGATGTTAGTACTTGAAAGGGTCTTTTCGATTTAGATCCCCTTCAATTTAGTTTTACAAAAACTATTCAATAGTAATTTTCAACATTTTAGTATTCATTCGTGTTTAAACATCTCACAGAAATTTTGTTAAGCCACGATGTTATTACTTCAAAGAGTCTGGGTTAGATCTGGTTTAAGTCTTTTCGATTTTTATCCCCTTAAATTTATTTTCACAAAAAATATTCGATAGTAATTTTCTACTGTTTAATATATTTTTCGTGTTTAAACATCTCACAGTTTTGTTAAATCACAATGTTATTTATTATTTCAAAGGGTCTTTTCGATTTTGATCTCCTTAAATTTACTTCCCTTTGGGGATTTATTTTCACAAAAATTGTTCCACAGTAATTTTCAACTTTTTTAGTATACCTTTGTTTGTATTTGAACGTCTCACACAAATTTTGTTAAGCCACAATATTATTTATTATTTCAAAGGATCTTTTCGATTTCGATCTTCTTTTTATCTCACTTTGGAGTTTTATTTTCACAAAAACTGTTTGATAATAATTTTCAACTTTTTAGTATATCTTTGTGTTTGAACATCTCACAGAAATTTATTAAGCCACGATGTTATAAAGATTATTCCTTTTTAAATATTATATGTAACAATAAATATCTCAAAAGCAACGTATTTCTAAAGGAAAAAGTACGAAATTCTTTTTGTTTCAAGGAGTAAATACAACTATCCTATTTACTTTTTATGAAAATGGAAAATTAAGTCATACAATTGAAATTTATTTATTTTTTCTTTGTTGGCTAAGTAAGTACTGATAATCATAAATTTTTTCATGACTTACAATACTAATAGAATCACATAACAGTTTTGAACAATCTACATAAAGAGTTTTTATTATTCTATTTTTTAAGTTCTTAAAATTTTCTAGTCTAGTCTAAAACATTATAAATCTTAAGGGGGTCTTCTAGTATGAATCTTTGAAAAAATCAGTTTTTCTTTATTCAAATTTTCATAAAATAAAATATAATTTTGTAAAAACATACTTTCAAACATATTTGCAAATGTTTATGCTTGGATTCCTAAAAATAACGAAGTTAAAGCTGTGTTGGTCAACATAATTTGTTAAAGGGATACTTTAAACAAGTTCGTTTTGAAAATATGTTTCTCGAAACGATGTCCATGATATCTCAAAATCTTTCTGTCCAGTTACCTTAAAAATTTAGACGCTCATACAGTATATGTGTGATTATAGCCCGTACTAGAATCAACCCAAAATATTTATTTTTTACGTTTTCTTAAGCTCCTAAAATAGAAAGATAAACATGTAAAATCTGTAATCAACTTTTAAAGTGTCGCAATTTTTTAAATTATTGAGTTTTTCCTTATGTTCTAGTAGCTGCTATAGTCAATTTCATAATAATTAAGAATCTTACACGTTTTCTCGTTTCAAATTTAAAAAATGGCCGCAAACATGGACACGGTGGAGTAATCTTTCTTAATAGAAACTATGTTTGACTATGTTTGTAAAGATCCAATATTACCACATTCAGTATATACTATAGCCTGTATTAAAATCAACCCAAAATATTTATCTTTACATTTATTTAAACTCCTAAAATAGAAAGATAAACATGGAAAATCAATAATCAACGTTTAAAATGTCGCCATTCTTTAAATTATTGGACTTTCTCCTTATATTCTAGTAACGGCTATAGTCAATTTCATAATAATTAAGAATCTGTGGCGCTGCATCGCTGCGAGTAGAGGATGTCGTGAGAATTCGTAGGAAGGCAGAAAAGGAAAGGAGGGGGCGCGTTTCGTCCGGGCCTGCCAGTGGACTCATCAGTAAGGCTTTCTAGCAGGCCCTGCCTTAGACGACTGGGATATTGGGAAGTCGTTCGAGGAGTGTATATATAACAACGGAGGGGTCAGTCGAGCGCTTGTGAGAGCGCGACCCCTCTGGTGGCGAGCATGGGAGGCGACGCCACAAATCTCACACGTTTTCTCGTTTCAAATTTAAAAAATGGCGCAAACACGGACACGGCGGAAAATCCTTTTTTAAAAGAGACTACCTTCGAATTTCAACTTTTTTTAGTTCAAAAAATTCTAGAATGTTATTTAAACATAAGTACATAAACCTTACAAATTTGACTGCCAAAGATGTTATAGCAGTCTTCGCAAAAAATTCTAAAAGAAACTTAGAAAAAATGCATTTTATACTGGAAGACCGTCTTAAATTATCAATAGGGAACAGAAATATTTTCATAGAAATATAAACAAAAATATGGACCATATGTATAGAAATATTCACCGAAATACCAACGCAAGGGTACCATTATAGGTGCTGTAACTACCCCAAAGTTGATTATCTTTTTACCACCCTCCTTTACGTTGTTCCTCGAGTTAAATCGCAGATGTCCAAGTAAAATGGTGTCGTTAATCGTCGCAGGTACTACGCGAACTACTGCAGGGGGGATTGCGCGGCCGGACATAGAACGCCGGACACGTTCCTCAACTACTACACCCACGTGATCGAGGAATACAGGAAGATGGATCGACTGGCCGGCATGCAGCCTTGCTGCGCGCCCCTCAAGTTCTCGCCGATGTCGTTGATCTACTACGGTCCCGATTCCAACATTATCAAAAGGGATCTGCCAAAGATGGTGGTTGACGAGTGCGGCTGTCCTTAAAGTGTCGGCGTGTCGCTGCTTCTGTCCGGATAAAATCGGTTCGAGTCGATCAAAGCGACCGGGCGTTAGCGGTACGTCGCGGATTCGGAGCCCGTTCGACCTCTCGATAGATCGAGATAGCGACTTCGACGCGATCTCCGACGTTAAAAGCTAAGAATGTTGCGGGATATGACATTAGAAGCAATTTAGAGAGGAGAATAGATCGGTCCCCTGACCGACCGGGGGAACGTTCCCTTCGATTATAGACTGCCTAGCGTGACTTTGGACACATTCCAGATGAGCCCCGACGTGGTCCGACTTAGATTCGTTTGTAGCTTTACGGACGCGTTCCGAGTTCGTCGGAAAACCGATCGGAAACACGGCCAAAATGATATATACGAAAGGACAAGCTCTCTCGATCGACCACGATCAACTCGAAAGTCCGTCGAGTAATCGCAGGGGAAGCAATTGAATAAGACTGTCCGTTCGATCGATCGACTGACCGACGCAAACCGTCGATCGCCGGTTTTAGGTGACACTAGATGGGCCGACGACGACGTTCGTGATCAGGAAGCGACGAATGATTTACCGTGGAACGAAAAGGAACGCGCGCGACCGGACCTGTCAGGGAAAGAGCTTTGTCGGCGTGATTTCCGGCTAGGATAAGAAATATTAATTACATTCCGAACGAGACTGAGGATAAGAACGGATCGAGCAAGAGAGAAACGGTAAGAACGGGAGAAAAGCGACAGTGAAAATCAGAGGGGAACCTCGGTCAGTATCGAAACAACCAACTTTTACGAGGTATAATATATTATAAATATACATATAACTATACACTTTGTTTCTACGCGATTATTAAAGAGTAACGAATGGTACGGGGAGAGTCCGGAAAAGAAACCCGAGATTCTCGCAGAGAGCTTAGTCTTTTCTGATTAGTTGCGCGACGAGGTGAGAGGCAAACAAAAAAAAAAGAAATAAAAGAAAACGAAGAAAGTAAAAACTAATGAAAGTAAAAAGAGGATGATTTCACATTTATTATGTATATATTATACATACGTATATACATATATATATATATTATATATATATTATGTACACAGACAGACACACGAGGTGATTCAGCCGAGTATAAATACTTGAATACGGGCGGTTAAAGTTTAAGATGTAAACGATAAAAGAAAAAAAAAAACTCAATCTGATTGCCTTGTTTTTTATGCGAAACGTATGAAAGTATCGAGTAAACGATTTAGCAAAATGAAAAAAAAAAATACTATTAACAATCTTTCTCTTTATATTTATATATCTATGAATATAAATATAAATAAAATCTAAATATACACGCGAGGGATGAATATATTCGACGTGCCAGGGATGGGGGGTGGGTACTTGGGTGGGATTCTGGGAAGGGTGGGAAGTATTTAAGAGTTCAAAAAAGAAAAAAAATGATAAAAGAAAAATTATTATTATTAATTAATTAATTATACTTAAATGTAAGGGGGCGAAGAGTTTAGGGTGGGGACGTCGCATGCGTGTATAAGTTTCGAAGACTTCACTACGTTGTCCATCAGCTGATAACCCACGAATAAGTACCGAACACACACACCTACACACAGACACAGATACACGCACGAAACACGAGACTCGAATTTGCAGGTAGAAATTACCGCATATAGTCGGTAGGAGGAATATTGTTAACTCCTCGAGGTATGCTTACGTTGATTTAATTATATTCGTTCTTGTTTATTCACTAAAAAGCTGTCGTTGATTCCTTGGCACACGTTAACGAACATGTTACAAACCACATTCTCGTCTAATTTACAGGTTCGCTGTAGCATTATCGACGACCTCACACGCAAATTTATTATTCGCTATTGTTTTCATCAAGAATACAGTGATCACGATTTTAATTCGGTTCAAATTCACTTCAACGCATACTTCTCCGCCGGCAGATATGTATACCGATAATTATTGGTAAGCTGCGCGTAACAATAGCTTTTCTACCGACTATACACTGATATCATAGTCCACGACCTCGGTTCACCGAACCGTCTCTCCAAACAAGTTTTCCTTTCTTGCTTCTTATACGTATATCTCGTGTATCTTCCTACCGTAAATGAAATCTCTGTACCATATCTCCAAGATAATTATTTTAATTCACTCCGACGAACATGTACACGAACACACGGGCACAGACACAGACACATAAAAGCACAGTGCAGCGTAGAAAATACAACGCGTACACGAACAGATACACGCGCTCGCGCCAAGTCCTGTATTATAGTCTTAGAGGCATTCCGTATGTTACTTAATTTAAACACATATTGAAAAATAAAACACTATATACACAAGCGTGGATACAATGTCTACACAAATACAATAAATCGCTAGCAATTGTATCGAATTCGCGAGGCTCTTCGAGTTTCACGATCGGAGGAGAATGGTTCGAGACACGCACGCACGTTACTCGGAGCGCCACGGAGGGTGGTTTCCACGACACCCTCCCGAACTCGTTGAACACGGACAGGCAAAATTGAGTGAGGGTTATCGCGCGGAAAAAGTATGAATTGCAAATAACGAACAATACAACGTGACAATAATTAATCGAAGATATTGGAGGAGGCTTCGAGCGGCCGAGGCGACGATTTTCTTTTTTAACGAGCTGTGTGACACGCTCACACGCTCACACACGTGCGATTTTCTTCCGTGTAGAGTTTCGTTGACAAAAAAAAAAAAAGAAAACGTCTCGAGACATGAAAACGAGACGCGTGACCGGAGAAATTTGCTTTCCATTTTCGGACGAAGTTTTCATAGACGAGACTAGATACGACGAGACTAGATAAGAAGAAACGAGACGCGACGTTAGAGAAACGGTGTGATTTTTAATGCGAGAAATGTATATTGAATTTCTGTGGGATAGTTCATTGACCCACGCAGCCTTACTGGGCCTTATTAAAGTATTATCACATTATTACTAAATTTAATTATTAAAATAACAATAAAGCTTAAGAGTATTTAAACGAACGAGAACAGATGGAAACGAGTAGCAAAGAACGTTGACGGGGGTAAAAAAATGGACGAAGGTTAGAGGAAACCAGGGGATAGAGCAGAATTGTTCGCACCATTCAGGAATCATGGGGGGATAGGGAAACAAAACAAGTAAATGGGAAATTATGAAAGGAAAGAAAACCCATCGCGAGAAACACACGAGAGCGTGCGGGTAACGCCGAGAAGTAGAAGATCGACTCGTCGAATTCTCTTGTCGAAGTTCGGCATATAAAATGAACGAAGGAAGAATGCTAACTAGCAACTTGAAAGAGAAAAGAAAACGAACGATACAAGTATGCCCGTGGAAAATAGAGACAGAGTGTGTCTGCGTGTGTAAATGAGCGAGAGAATGCGAGAAGAAACAGAAAAGCAAGATATATCCGACATTCCGCCGTTCACTTAGCCAAAAATCGAAAAATGGAAAAAACTAATTGCGTCCAAAGTAAAATTTAAATGAAGTTTAAGCGAGCGTATTTCTAGTATCATTAAGAGAATTTTCTTCATCTTCTTCTAGTTCATTTTCATCATCCACTACTTCCTCTATCTACATCTTCTACCACTAGTACTACTACAACTATTATTAATATTACTACTACTACTATTACTATTACTATTACTATTACTGTTACTACTACTAGTACTCCTACTACTATTACTAATACTAATACTAATATTAATACTATTAATACTTCAATTATTACTCCTATCGCTACCACTATTAACTACTACTACATCTACCAACACTACTACTAGTACTACAACTATTACTACTATTACTAATACTACTACATCTACTACTACTTTGACTACAACTACTGTCATTACTACTGCTATTAATACTAATATTCCTACAACTACTAATATTATTACTACTAATACTACTATTACTGCTTTTTCTACTACTACTACAGCTACTACGTCTACATTACTACTACTAAGAATAATAATACTATTATTATACTACTGCTACAACTATTATTGCTACAAATACAAATACTATGACTGTCTCTATTACTGCGACCACTACTAATACTACTACTACGACTAGGATTGGGACTACGACTAATATGACGTCGACTGCTACTACTACTACTACTACTATGACTACCATTACTAGTACTTCCTCCACCACTATTATTATTACTCATACTACTACTTTTACTACTTTTATTATTATTATTACTGCTACTTCTACTAAATACTACGTCTACGACTAGCACTACTAATACTAATACTACTATTACTAAAACTACTTCTACTTCTACTACTATTACTACTACTACTCCTACTACTATTATTAATACTATTAATAATAATAATATTACGTCTACTATTATTACTATTAATAATAATATTACTACGTTTACTATTATTACTAATAATAATAATATTACTTTTACTACTACTCCTACTACTATTATAATTACTACTAAAAATAATAATACTACTTCTACTATAATGTCTACTAAATATTTCTACAACTACTACTAATACACATACCCCTACAATTACTAATGCTCATACTACTATTTCTCTTACTAGTATTCCCGATACTACTAGTATTGCTGCTGTTTCAATTGCTACTATTACTACTACTGTTACTACTGTTACTACCATTACTACTTCTATTAATAGTTCTACTGCTATTATTACTACTACTTCTACTACTACTACTACTCCTATCCCTTCTATTACTAGTATTGATACTACTGCTATCACTACTAGTTGCTAACTCTTATTGCTACTACTAGTATTACTACTTTTGCGACTTCTACGCCTAATAAGATTAATACAATTTTTACTAGTAATACTACCATTACTACTACCACTACTTGTACTACACTACTATTGCTACGTTATCTTATACTATTGCTACTAATATTATTACTACTGATACTACTACTTATTACTGCTACTTCTACTATTACTACAAATATTAGTATACTCTACTCCTACTACTACTATATTACTAC